AGAAGATGTGTAAATATGGTGTAATGAAAAGGGGAAAGATGTGTAAAAGTAATGAAAGGAGAAGATTGATTGGGGGGGGGGATGTGGGGATTTTTTATGGTAATTGTACGGTGGTGAAGGAATGGGTGGTGCATGGTTTGGATTTTGATGGTTGGGGGTGGAGGAGGGGGGGGGTGTGAAAGATGGGGGAAGTGGGAGTTGGGTCAGGTGGTCGGATCATTTTAGGGAGTGTAGGATTATCTGGGATGTTTGGTATTTATGGGATTTATATGTTTGGATTGTGTTTTAATATGGTAGGAGTATATGTAGGGGGTTGGTTAGGATATGGTGCTCCTAGGGTTTTAGTTCAGGGATGAGGGGGGATAATGTGAATTGGAGTGGTTGAGGTTGAGGTTTTATATATATATTGACGGGACTTATTTGTATCATTAAGGGTGTAAATATGGGGTGGGGTTAGAAAATGAATTAGTTGGAAGGGAAATTGTGGTTGATTGGATTTGAATAAGAGTGAAGTATATTAGACTTGTTTAGGGAATGGGGGGGGAGGTTATGATCAGAGTATGTTTATGTGGGTTGGTGAATGGATAGATTAATGATGGAGTTAGTTGATGAGTTAGTGGATATTATTGGAGGGATTTAGAGTAATTATTATAGTAGAGTGGATGTAAGGGTGATGGGGGGGTTAATGGGGATTATGCGGTGGTGGTTTTAGGGGGAAATGGTGTTATGGTGGGTGGGATATGAGGATTTAATGGGGATGGGGGTTTTAAAGGTATAGGGGGGGGTAGATAGAGATTTTATAGTGGAAGATATGGGGTGTTGGGGGGAGTGGGGGGAAGTATGGTGAAGAAGGGAGGGGGGAAAGGGGGGGTGTGTTGAATGGGGTGAATAGTGGAGGAGGGATGCAGGGGGGTTAGTGTGGTGATTGGTGAATGGGGGGGACTGGGAAGTGAGATATGTGTGGAGAAGGATAGGAGAAGATAATGTAGAATAGAGGGAATTGTGGGTTTTATTAGGGGGGAGAATGGAGATGTGTAAGGAGGGTGGGGGTGGGGGGGGGGAGAGTTTTTAGATTTTATGAGATGTGATTATGAGGGGGCTATGTGGGGGGGGGGTTTTTGGGGAAATATGGGTGAGGAGGGAAGAGAGTGAATATGGGTAGAGATGGGGAATTGGGATGAGAGTAAGGTGAGGGGATATAGATTGTGGGGTTGTTTTTTTGGGATAGGGATTTTTGGTATGGAGGATGTATTTAAGTGAATTTTTTTTTGGGGAAAGGGGGTGGATGAATTATTAGTAATTGGTATGGATGGAGGTTGTATAAAGGTTGGGGTGTAGTGTAGTTAGGGTGGGGTGTAATAAGGGGGTTGGGGATATGGTAGGATGTGGTTGAATTTTTTTTTTTATTGTTTGTTATTTAGTTTTTGTGGTTGTTTTGTTGTGATGTTGGGGTTTTTGGTTGTTGAGGTGTGTATGCGAGGGTTGGTGGGTATTTTTGGGGAAAGTTGGTAGTGTAATTGGGGGTAGGGGGTTGAAGGGTTGGGATTTTGCATGTGTGGTGTAGGTGAATTGAAGTAGGATGGTTTGGGATTGTGGGTGGTGAGGGGATGGAAGAGTTATGTTTTTAATTTTGAAGGTGTAGGGGATAAATGGGAAGATGGGGGGGGGGATTGAAAGTGGGGGTTTTAAAAGGGGTAGGGAAGTATGGTTTGGAGATAGTTGGTTGGATAAGAGTATATGGTTAGGGGGGGGGGGGTTATTTTTATAGAGGAAATGGGAGGGGGGGGTGGGGTTTGTATCGGGGAGAAAAAAAGGAGATTTAGGTGTAAGGAAGTGAGGGTATGAGAAGATGGTAATGAGTTTGAATGGGGGGAAAAGGAGAAGAGGAGGGGATAGGGTGAATTGAAAGTTTTTGGAGAAGAGGGGAAAATGGAAAATGGAAGGTTAAGTAGGGAAGGGTAGGGGGGGTGAAGGGGGGTGGTGTAGGTAGGGGTGGTAAGGGTAGGGGGGTGTAAGGGGTAGGTGTAAGGGTAGGGTTAGTAGATTAAGGGAGAGAGTAAAGTAAATAGAGTATGGTAGGGAAGTAAGAGGTGAGTAGAGTAATATGTAGGGGTAGGTAAAGTGAGTAAAGTGAGAGTAGAGTAGAATAAAGAAAAGTAGAGGATAGTAAGTAAGTAGCTAGGAGAGTTAGAGTAGGGTAGAGAGGAGAGTAGAGTAGAGTAGTGTAGATAGAGTAAGTAGAGTAAGTATAGTGAGGTATAGTATAGAGTAAGTAGAGTAAGTGAGAGTATTGTAGGTAAATTAGAGTAAAGTAAGTTGATAGAGAAGGTTGAGTAGAGAGGAGTAAAGTAAAGTTGAGAGAGTAGAGTAATTTAGGTAGGGTAAAGTAGAGTAAAGTAAGTTGATAGAGTAAATTAGAGTAGAGTAAGGATAGTAGATTTTGAGTAGAGTAGAGTAAGTCGAGTAGGAGTTAAGTAGAAGTAGTTATAGTAGAGTAGAGTAGAGTGTGGAATAGGGGGGAAGGGGTTAATGTTATTTGAAGTAGGGTGGGGAAAGAGGGGAAGGATTAATGAGATAGGGGTAATTAGGGGAAGTTAGGATGGTGGGGGGGAATTGAGGGGTTGAAGTGGGGAATTGTTGTGAAAAGGTAGAGGGGGGGGGGATATGGGGGGATTGTTATTAATGTGTAGGATGGGTTTATTAGTTGTTAAGGGGGGGGGGGTTTATGAGGGTTGTTATTGGAGGGGAGTATGGATGGGGGGGTTTAGTGAGTTTGAGTGGGTTTTTAGGGGATGAAGGGGGGGGGGGTTGAATTGGTTTGGAAAGGAAATGATATGAATGTGGGGTGGGGTATATAAGAGGGGATGGTAGGAGAATAGATGGGGTATGGGGGTGAGGGTAGATGGGTAAGTAAGTTTATGTATAGTGGATGAGGGGGTGGATGAATGTTAGAAAGAGTAGGAGAAGAGAGAGTGGGATAGAGAGAAGAGAGAGGGGGGTAAGAAGAGATAGAAGAGAGAGAGAGATTATATGGGAAAGGGGGGAATTATATTGATGATAAATGGAGGGGGGGATAATGTGTTTATGAGTGAAGTTTTTTGATTGTTATTGTTTTGTGGGTGGGGTGGTGGAATGCAGTGGGGGAGAGATAGGGGGACGCTCTTGTCATATGGAGGGGTGAGAGCGGTGTGGGTCGAGCGAGGTGGGGGACGAGAACAGGAGAGAGGGGATAAATAGGGGGGAGAGATGACGAGATGGGGTGATATAGGTAGAGATCGGAGAAGATATAGGGGGGTGGGTGTGGGGGGGGGGGGGGTATAATTAGGGGAGGAGAGGGATAGACAGTGTGGAGAATAGGAAGAGAGAGGGATGATCAGATAAGGGGGGAGAGGGAGGTATGTGAGAGTTGAATTGGGGGAAGGGGGGGATCATTTGGGTGGTGGAAGGTGGGGGGGGGGATGTTAGGGGTGTTGAGAGAGATTGGAGGGGGTGGTTAGGGAAGGGGGGATAGTGTTTGGTAACAGAGGTAAGGTACGAGGGGTAGGGGGATAGGGGGGGAGGAGGTGTGTTGGGTGATGGGGGGGATTTGTGAGGGGGGTTTATAGGGTTGGTGCGATATTGAAAGGGGAGATGGTGAAATGGATATAATATTGGGGTTTAGGTTTTTGTTGTGAATGTGAGGGGTGGATGGGGGGGGGGGGGGGAATGTGGTTGGGAGGGGGGGGGGGGGGGTTGGAGGGGTGTTGGATAGGGGTTTGGGAAGGGGAGGTGTTATGTAATGTGTTGTGTGTTAATTTTGTGTTAATTTTGGTTGGTATATTTTAATATGTGTGTGTAAGTTGGGGTGGGGGGTAATGTGTTGGTTTGGTGTGGGGAATGTGTGTGTGATAATGTGGGGGTGTGGTGGTGGTGTGTTGGGTTTGAATGTTTGGGTGTTAATGTGTATTTTTGGTTTGGTTTGTAAATTGTTATTGTGTTGTTTTGGTAATTGTGTGGGTGTGTTTTGGGGTGGATGTTTGGGTGATTGGTGGGAGTGGGGTTAAGGGGAGAGGGAAGGGGAGGATGGTAGGGGGGGGGGGGGGAATGGGGTATAATGGGGTGGGGTGGTGGGTGGGGGTAGGAGGGGAATAGAAATAAATGATGATAAGGGGGGGGGGAAGATATGAGGGATATGGAGAAAAAGAGGGGGGGGGAATTTATGGAGATAGGAAGAAGAAATGGTTAGGATAATTTAAAATATAAGGGGGTTGGTGGTAGATGGGGGTAGGGGGTAGGAGTGGTATTGAGGGGGAGTAATTAGGGATATATGGGTGGGTGGGGGGGGTGGGGGGAATGTGGATATATATTTTTTGGGTGTTTGGGATGTTAGTGGTTTTTGGGTGGGGTTTTTTTTTTGTTTGTTGTTATGTTTGGTGGGGGGGGGGGTTTTGTTAGTGAGGTGGTGGTGATTGGTGTAATGGTTTTAATTTTGGGTTATATGTGGTTTGTAATGTGTGTTAATTGGGGAGGTAGTGTGGGTGGTGTGGTAGTTGTAATTTGGGTATTTTGGTTTGAATTTGTTGATTAGGGTTGGGGGATTATGTGGTTTTAGGTAATTTGTGGAATGGGGTGTAATGTTGTGGAGGGGTATAGTTAGGTTGAAGTAGTTTGGGGGGGGGGGGTTTGGTAGGTGTAGTTTGTAATGGTGGTAGATGGGTTATTTGGGGTTATGTTATTGTATGAGGTGTATGTTGGGAGAGTGTATGGTGTGTTGAGGGGTGGAGATATTATGATATATGGGGTGTGGAGAATAGTAATGGGGGGGGGGAATTTAGAGGAAGGGGAGGAGGAGTTTGGATTAATAGGGGAATGTGAAGGGGGATGTATATGGGAGGAGAATGTGAAGGGAGGGGGGGGGATAGGGGTTGGGGGGAAGATGTGGGGAAGGGGATGAGAGGGTATAAGAGGGGATTGGGGGGGGGGGGGGATATAGTGTTGAGGGTGGGGGGATTGGGATGTAGATGGTGAGGGATAGAGGAGATGGAGGGGGGTTGGGGTGGGGGGGTGTGTTTGTTAGGGGGGGGGGGGGAAGGGAGGAGTATGGGGTGTTGTGGGAGTGGTGGGGTGGGGGGGAAAATTATGGGTGGGGTGGGGGTGGGGGGGGGATAGGGTATTGGGTGGTTTGGGATTGGGGGGTGATTGGGGGATGAGTGGATGATAGAGTTTGGGGGGGTAGAGGGGGTTTGGGGGTGGGGTGTGGTGGGTAGGGGTGGGGTGGGAGGGGGGGGGGATGATTTTGATGGGGGGGAGTTGTATGTGGTGTTTTTAGTTAAAGGGGGGATTTGGGGAGGGGGGTTGGTGGGGGGGGGGGGGGGGGGGAGGTAGGGGGGGGGGGGGGGTGTTAGTAGGGGGGGTGGGGGAAGGGGGGGGGGGGATGTGTAGGGGAAGATTGGGTTGGTTAGGGGGGAGTGATGTGGTGTGTAGGGTTGGAGGGAAATTAGTTGGTGGGGGGGGTGGATTTGTGTGGTAGGGGGGGTTGTTTGTGGGGGGTTTTTGGGTTGGATTGTGGGGTTGTTGGGGGGGGTGATGGGGGGGGGTGATGGGGTTGGATGGTAGGGGTGAGGTAAGTAGGTTAGTGTGTATATGTTTTGTTGTAGGGGGTTGAAGGGGATAAGATAGGGTGTAGGGGAGGGAGGAAAGGATAGGGGGTGAGTGGGAGGGGGGTGGGGGGGGGAAGAGGGAAAAGAGTAGGGGATAGAGAGAGGGAAAGAATGAAGGGAAAAGAGAGAGGGAAAGAGAGTGGGAGAAGAGAAAGGGAAAAGAGAGAGAGAGAGAGAAGATTTGGAGGGAAAGGGAGAGGGAGGGGGAGAGATGAGAGGGAAAGTGAGGAGAGTTAGGAGAGAGAGGGGGAAGAGGGATGAAGAAAGAGTGGAATAAGGTGGAGGGGAAGTAAGTTAATGTGAGTTTGGTGGTTAGGGGGGGGGTGGAAGGGTTGGTTGTTAGGGGGGGGGAGGAAGGGGGTGGGGGGGGTTTAGGTGAGGGGTAGAAAGATGGTTTGTAAGGGGGGTGAGTTTAAGGAAGGGGGGGTTTAGGGTTGTTTTATTTTAGTGGTATTGAGTTTTGAAAGGGGGTTATAGGAATGAGATAAAAGGAGATGATGAAGGGAAAGAGGGAGGTAGGGGGGGGGATGTAGGGGGGGGGGAAGGTGGGAGAGAAGAGAGAGGGGGGGAGATGGGATGTTAGAATATGGGGGGTTGGTGGGGTAGAGGTTTAGAGGATAGAGAGATTAAATAAGGGGGGGGAGGAATATGGGATGGGAGTTTTGTATTATTGTGATTGGGAAAAGGATTTTGTTTTTTTATAGATTTTAGTTGGGTTTGTGTTGTTGGGGTGGGGGGGAATAGAGGTTTGGGGGGGTTTGGGGGGGGGGATATGGGGGTATGGCAATGTGGGGTGTGGGTGATTTGTGGTGGGGGATATTGATAGAGGAGTTAGTAGTGTTTTGATTGTTAGGTTATGTTTGTTAGGTGGGGTGTAATGTTAATTGTGTTATTTTTGGGGTTTATGTTGGTAATGTGTGTGGTTGTGGTGGTTTTTGAGTAGTGTTGTGGTTTTGGTTTTTGTAATTGTGTTGTAATTGTGGGGGTGTTGTGGTGGTAATTTGTGTGTAGTGTGTGTTTGTGTAATTTTGGTAGGGTTTTTTGTAATGTTTTTGTGTGGTGTGTATTTGTTGGTGTGGAGGGTTTGTGATAATTGTTAATTGTTTTGTTTAGTGGTGTTTTAATGTGGGGGGTGGTGTTTGTGTATGGATGGAGTTGTTTGTATTGGGGGGTGAATGGTTTTTTTTGTGTAATGTTGTGTTGGTGTGATTTGTGGTGTTGTAATGTGTGTGTTTTGTTTGTAATTTTTGGTGTGTGGTGTTTAATGTGGTGTTTGTTAATTTGTGTTTAATTGTTGTCTTGTGGATAATGGTGTTGTTGTAATTTGGTGTAGGTATTATTAATAAGGGGTTATAGTGTTGGGAGAGTGAGGGGGGAGTTGTTTGTTATTGGGAGTTGTTTAGGGTGTGGAGTGGGGGTATGAGGGTTTGATGGGTAGGGGTGGGGAAGTGGGTTAGATATGGGTGGGGATGGTATGGTTGATTTAATGATAGAGGTTTTTGGTTTGTTGGTTTTTTGTTTTTTTTAATGATAGGGTTGAGTATTAATAATTGATAGGAGGGGGTAAGGATATGAGTATTGAGTGTGGGGTGAGTGGGGGGTAGTGGGTGGGTTTTTTTGTTGTGGGGGGGATTGAGTGGTGAGGTGTTAATAGATGGGAGGAATGGGATGTGGGGGGGGGTGTATTTTGGGTAGGGGGTGTTAGTGTGGTGGGTGTGTGTAGGGTTTTTTGGTTTTGAAGAGATTATTATTATTATGTTGTTTTTGTTGTGGTTGGAGAGAGAGGGGAAAGGGTGTGTTTAGTTTGTTGTGGGGGTAAATGGTTTGGGGGGGTGATAGATTTGAAGTTTGGTTGTTTGTGGGGGTTGAGGTAAGTGGGGGTTTTTATGTTGGAGGGAGGGTATTGTTGTAAGGGAAAAGAAGGAATTAATTAAGGTGAGGGAGGGGGAGGGTTGGGGATTTTTAGATAGGGGTGGGGGGGGGATCGGGGTTGGAAAAATGGAGGGGGGGGGATGAGGGGGGATATTGGTTGGAGGGGAGGTGGGAGGGGGGGGTGGATAGTGTAGTTTGAGGGGATGATAGTAGTTTAGATTTGGAGTTTTTTGAGGGATGTGGGTTATGTGTTGAGTTTATGGGGTTATGCGGATTGTTGATGGATTATGTGTTTTGTTTTTCGGCTTGCAATATTGTGGATGTAGGCGAGTATCAGATAATGGTCTATATAAAGTAATATGAGATGTGAGAGAGGGTTGATATATATGGCTCAGATGATGAGAGATGGTGGAGCAGAGAGATAGTAAGGGAGATAGGGGGGAGAGGAAGAGAGAGTGGGCTCGATAATCAAGAATAGAGGATAGAGATTACATAGAATAGGGAGGGAGATAGGATAGAGAGTGAGAGTATCGCATAGAGAGGAGGGAGATATGGCGAGACCAGATGGAGCAGAGTAGCATAGTGGGATATATGGAGAGAGGGGGAGATAGGAGGTTTATATTAGAGATAGATAAGAGTGAGAATGACTCGATTAGATAGGAAGATAGGAGGGATGGGTGGGGGGGAGAGTGAGGAGAGATTAAGAGGGGGGAGAGATAGGATAGAAGGGGAGGAGTGAGGAGATAGGAGAGGGAGAGAGAAGTGAAAAGAGGTGAGAAGAGAGAGAGAGAGGGGAGAGAAGCGGAGAGAGATGTAGGGTGAGAGGAAAGAGAGGAGATTTAGGTTGTAGTTTGTGTGGTGGGGGTGGGTGGTGGTGTTATAGGTTGGGATAGTGAGGAGAGAAGATAGGAAGTAGGGGGGAGGGGTTAGAGGGTGTAATTTAGTAAGTGAAAAAAGTATAATTTTCATGGTATATGATCAGTACTGAAAGGTGTGAAGGGTTGGGAGGGGGATTGTTTTTGGGGGGTGGGATAGGTTTGGTATAGGGGTTGAAAGTTTTGGGGTGGATGATGGTGGGTGGGGGTGTGGGGTCTGTGAATGAGAGAAATGAGGAGGGATGGGAAGGTTATTAGGTGAATTATAATAGTTGGGGGTTGAAGGTAAAGAATGAAAAATTAGGGATTAGGATATGTGATGGGTGGAGGGGTTGGGGGTTCTGCTTGGGGAAAAGAGAGGTGGGGAGAGGTTGTGGGGAGGAGAGGTTGGGGATTTTTAAGGTAGGGTAGTTATAGGAGAAGTGTAGGGGTTGTGGTAGTAGGGTATGATGATGATATAATTATAATGATTTTGATTTATATGAGAGTATGGATTGGTGGTTTTATGAAAGAAGTTGGGTAGTGGGGGGGAGATTTAGATGGTTAGTGGGTTTGTAATGGTTTGTGGGTAATTGTGGTTTAATTGTGTACTTTTGGGTAATGTGTGGTGTTAATTTTTTAAGTGGGTTTAGGGGGGTATGGGGTGTGATTTTTGGGGTTGGTATTGGTTTATTTGGTTAATTGGTGTTAATTGGTTGTAATTGTGTGGGTAATTGTTGGTAATGTTTTAATGTTATTATGGAGGAAATGGATAGGTTGTATGATTATATGGAGTTATGGTGGGAATGAGGTTTTTGTGGGGGGTTTGGGGGATGATGTTTTGTGGGTTGTGGTTGTGAAGGGTTATAGTTATTGTATTAAAAGTAGGATTTTTTTATATTTTGGGATATGTGGTAGGAGAGGGGGTGGAGGGGATGGGGGAGTGATTAGAGGTGTGGTATAGTAGATGAGAGAAGGGTTTGGGGAATTGGGAATAGGAGGGAAAGAGGGATTTTGAGAGGGTTGTTTGATGTATTGATGGTGTGAGTTATAGGAGGGAATTTGGGGTTGATGGAGGTTATTTGATATGTTATTAGGGATGTATGGGGGGTGGGGGGGGGAGATGATAGTGATTGTTGTGGGTAGGAGGGGGGGGGTATTTGGTTGTTGGAAAGGAGGGTTTTATGTTGTATAGTATTATAGGGAATATTTGTGTAAGTAAGGGGGGTGGGGGTAGTTTTTTTTGTGAAAATTTTAATGGGGGGATAGGGGGGAAATAGGGATGTAATTTTGATAATTATTGTATATTAGGGTTATAATTTGGGGGTTGGTTTGTGGTGATGATGGTTGTTAGGGGTTGAGTTGTAGAAGAGAATATATGGAGTGGGAGTGTTTTATATTTTAAGGTAGAGAGTTATGGTTTAAAAGGTTATGAGTAGTAGTTGGTTTAAGGATATATAAGGGGGTATAGTGGTGTAATTAGGTTCTATATGGGATGATGTTAGGGGACTATGGAGGTAAAGGGGGAAAGACAAATGGGAAGGGTTTGGGGTTTTGGGTTGGATTTTCATTGGAGGTGGATGTTCGACAGAATAAGGGAAGGAGGATGGTATGGTAGGTTTAATATGATAATGATAGGGGGTAGGATCCATAATTATATAGGGATAGAGGGGGTGGGAGAAGAGGTAGGGAGGGGATGGGATGGAGAAGGAGAAGAATTAAGTATGTAAAATAGAAGGGTGAATTAAGGAATTAGGAATGGTGAAAGTTAGGGAAAAGGAAGGTGAATAAGTAATTTGAAGGTTAAAGGAAAGAAAGAATGAGGGTGGAAGATGAAGTCCGGAATCTTAGTAATGGGGTGGTTTGCTTTTGTGATTTCATGAAGCGGGATTATAGGAAATAGAGATGGGAGAGGAATAGGGGAGAGATAGATGGGGGGGGAGAGAAGGAGGGGGATAGAGATAATGGAGAGATAGGGGGAGATCTAGGAGAGAGAGATGCGAGCGCATAGAGGTCGCTAGAGAGGGTAAAGAAGGAGAGAGAGGAGAAGAGGGTAGAGTGGGGTTGTTTAGGTTGTAGATTTTGGGAATAATATATCATGTGTTGCTGGGGGTAGTCTGGAAGGTTAAGGTGTGGGTGACACATCTAATGGGGTACTGTGTTGTGTTTTGTCCTATGATGAGGGGTGATGGTTTTGGGACTGGTATTTTTGTTTATTTTGGGGTTGTATGACGTGGATGTAAAAGGCATTAAGGGGTTAGATATCAGGGATGAAGAGTGTAAAAAGAATAGGGGGGGGGACGGGTGGATGCTTCTGCACGGATGGAGGTTTGTCAAGACATGGTGGACGATGGGAAACCGGGAAATGGTAGCGGGGTCGAAGTTGTGGGGAATGGGGGTGGCACAGACGTAACCTTAATAATCAGAGGTACAAGTATTGAAAATTTATTTGGGCTGGAAAGGTTTAGTTGTTGTTAGGGGGTTTATTCTTTGTTAGGAGATGGAAGGAAAGTAGAAGATGAGAGATAGTATGGAATATTGAGGCGAGATAGAGGGGATAAGGAGGTGAGAGGAGCATGGGGACGATGGTATATAGTTAGGGAAGAGAGAGGATAGAGCAGCATGACATGTATCTCTAGAGTATAGAGTTAGGGGCAAGATAGGAGAGCATTGGGTAATAGTTACTATTGGAGCGAGAGGGGGTAGAGAGGTAGCTATGTAGGGAGATATTGCTCGAGAGAAGACTTTTTGTTGAGGGAATGAATTTAAGGAGGGAAGGAAATTTCTATAAGGAAATTCTAATGCAGGATGATGGATATAAATGTTTAGAGATTCGGTTTTATTCTACGTTTTATTATTGTGTGGTGGATGGCCATCTTGGATAGTCGTGTGGGGGATTTAGTAGGGGGAAAGGCAATGTTTGGGGATATAGGATAGGATGAGAACGAAGTATATTGTATTAGGAATATGCTGGTAGGTCTGTAGGGGATTGTAGGGTTATGTGAATAGTTATACTGCTAACATCTGGTGTGAATTTGAAATAGGGAGTTATGTATTATAAAATAGGGTTTTTGACAGTGGCAGGAATTAATTTAAGGTGTCGGGTGGTTTTAATTATTGTAATGTGTTGTGGATGTTTGGGTTTGTTGGGTGGGGAGTAGTTTGTGTGATTGGGTGTTTTGGGGTGGTAATGGTTGTGTTTGTTTAAATGTGTGTAATTTTGTGTGGAATGTTATATAATTGGGTGTAATTTGTATTTTGTGTAATTTGTGTTTAATTTTTGTTTGATTATGTGAAAGTTCTGTGTAATTGTGTGGTAAATTTGTTGGTGAAGAAATTAAAATGATGGTGGGGGGTGAGTGGGGGGAATTGTGAGAGGGGGGTGTGGGGGGTATTTTTTAGGGTGAGGATGGGGAGTAATTGGTTTTGGGGGGGTTTGTGTGTGTGTGTGTGGGGATTTGTGATGTGTGTGTTGGTGTAAAATTTGTTGTTTGGTGTGATGGTTGGTGGTTGTTTTGGTGGTATGGGGGTGATGTGTAGGGATGGTAATGAGGGGGTAGGGTATTAGATTGGTTTATTGAGATTTAAGGATTGAAGGGTGGGGATTGAATTGAAGCGGGGGTTGATTTGGTTTGAGGGTGATTATTTAATTTTGGGTTTTTGGGGGAAGGATGTTGGGGGGGGGAAGGGTGAGAAGGTAAATTTTTTTGGGAGGGGGGGATGTTTTGTAGGGGGGTAGGTTGAAAAGGGAATAATAAGGGAGGTGAGAGGAGGTAAGGGGGGGTGTGAGGGGGAGGAAAGTGAAGGGATTTAGGGATAATTTTTTTGTGTAAATGGTTTGGAAGGGGATTAATGGGATTAATTCTATCGAGGTAGGGTAGTGATAGGATGGGTGTTATAAGGTGGGGTTAATAGTAAGTGTTTAATTGTAATTTGTGTGGTATTTTGTTGGTGGGGGGTTAGGGGGGGGTGTATATTAATGGGTTTATAGTTGGTTGGTGTGTGTGTGGTGTGTGTTGGGGTTGTGTTGTTTGTTTGGTTGTTGGTTGTGTGGTGTGGTGTGGTGGGGGTTGGGTTGGTAGGGTGGTTGTGGGGGGGCTTGGGGGTTTGGTGGTTGTTTATTTTGGGGGGGGTGGTTTGTGTGTGGGTTGGTTGTGGTGGTAGGTATTTGGGTTTTGGTTTGGGTTGTGTTGTGTGTTTGTGTGGGTTGGTTGGTGTGGTTGGTTGTGTGGTTGGTTGTAGTTGTTGGTTTTGGTTTGGTGTTTGTGTGGGTGTTGTTGTTGTGGGGTGGGTGTTGTGAGTGGGTTAGTGTGTGGTTGTGTGGGTGGGTTGTTGGTGTGTTTTGAGGTTGGTGGGGGGGTTGAAATGGGAGGGGAATGAAAGATGGAATGGAAGATGGAAATGAAATGGAAATGAAGATGGAAATGAAATTGAAAAAAAGAATGGGAATATGAAAGATGAAATGGAGTTGGGTATGGGGTATGGGGTATGTAGGTAGGAGAGAGGGGAAGAGGGGATGGGAATTATGTTTGTAATATATGTGGAAGTGGAATAAGAAAGAGTTTTAAATAAAAGGGGGAGAAGGGGGGTGATAGAGGGTAAAAGGAGTTGGGAATAAATCTGATTGAGTTAGTGGGGGGGGAAAATGAGGGGATTGGGTTTAGTAAGTGGATTGGGTTTGGTGGAAGTTTTGGGGGGGATATAGATTTGTTTAATTTTTATGTGGTTTGGTTTTTTAGTGATTGGGGGGGGGGGGTGGGGGTGGAGTTTTAAGATGGGATATGTTTTCTTTAAAACTACTCTGCAGGGCGCAAGTATATCATTCTGCTGTTTGGTTCATTGCATAGGGCATGCCCCGGTCCACATGGGCTCATCCTGTTGGTACCGTGTATTTGGGGAAATTTAAACAGAGAGTTTCTCATGATTTTTTATTGTTTTAACTAGTGTAGCTATGTTTTTTTTATTTGTTGGAGGGGTCGTTTGTGGGTTTGTAGGTGGTTGTACATTCAGCGTATGGGAACTTCTTAAAGGTATCAATTATTGATTAGTAGAAGTATAAGCTTAGTTTTGGAAGTCCTATTAGTGCACGGTGCTCATATGGCGTGAGACGTTCATTATAGGGTCACTTTCTTTGGATTGGGGCTCCAGGTTGTTTTATGTCGGTCGGGTGCTAGTAACGGTGTTTGAATAATTATAGTGTCTAGAGGGTATCATGGGCGAGACTTGGGAAAAGCATATCATCTGTGGAGAGTTATCGTTAAGTTGTTTATATGGTGGGATACGGTGGGAAGCTGGATGAGCAGGAAGAGGTGGACGAGTGTTGTGATTTTACTAAGACATTATTTATCTCATGGGGATGTAGTAATGGAGATTATAGTGGGTTGTTTGAGGGAACTGCGGAGGGGTAGTATTGGAGGTGGGTTTTTGGGACAGGTTGGTGTTAGAGGGGAGAGAAGGAAAGGGTAAATATATGGGTAGAGTGTTTTTTTCAATGGTTTACAAATAGGTAGGGGTCTGATGAATAAGTGGGGGTGATTATGGGGTTAGTGTTTATTCAACGGGTCTATAAAGTAAGGTGGGGATATGGTAGGGGATAATTTGCTATATTGGATATTAATGTGTGGAGGGGGGGTTGTTGGCTAGGGGGTTAGGTAGGGATTTTATGGGGATAGGGTTTATTTGATTATGGGGGGGTTGTTGGAGGCATTTTACTTAAATGTATTAGGGGGTTACTGGGGTGTTATAATGTTACTGGTGGATTATGAGAGAAATATAGGGAGAATGGGTAGGATCCTAGAGATTGGGGGGGGGGGTGGTGAGGTGATATGTGGGGTGTTGGATGATTAGGGGTGATGATTATGGTGATGATGTGGGGAAGAGGATGGAGTTGGAAGATGGGGAGGGAGGGAGGGGGAGGGGTTAAATTTTTTGAGGATAGTGAGGGGTGGGGGGAGGGGAGAGTAAAAGGGGGTGTGGATGTAATGTGTAATTATGGGGTAATGTGGAAGGGGTTTATAAGGGGGGTTTGATAAGTTTTTGGGGGGGGAGAGGGGAGGAGGGGGAAGGTAATGGTGGAGGGGGGGGGGGGGATGTAATGATGTTGTAGGAGTGATGTGGAATTTAGGTTGAATGGAGGGGGTTTGGGTATTTGGGGGATGGATTTTGTATAAAGATGGTTTTAGGTAGTTGGGGGGGGAGGTGATGGGATGAAGGGGGGGGGGGGTTAGGGGGGGGTGAGAGGTGAGGGGGGGTTTTGATATGGGGGGGGGGGGGGGGGGGGGGTTGAAGAAGGTATTTTTGATATTAGGATTGGTGGGGAGTTGTATTTTTTTTTGTGTTTTTGTTTTTGGGGGGTTGGGGTTGGGGATGGTTGAATGGGGAAGTATAATTTGTGAGGGTATGGGGTAGGGGGAATGTGTTAAGTAGAGGAGATAGGGTTGATATTAGGGGGGGGGGAAGAAGAGGTAGAGGTGTGAGATGTAGGGGGGGATGTAGTGGGGGGGTAGAGGGTGGTGATATGGGAGTAGAAGTGTAGAAAGGGGGGGGGGTTAGGGGGGTAGGGGGGGGGAAGAATGGAGGGAGAGGGGGGGGGTTTATGTATGGGGAAGAGGGTAAGAGTTGAAGATGTTGGGGGAGAAGGAGGGGGTAGTGTGTATATGGGGTAGGATGGTATGAGGTGGAGGGTGGGGGAAGAGGTAGGAATAGGGGGTGGTGTGTGGAAGGTTGGGTTTGTTTATTGTGTGGGGTAGGAAATGGGTTTGAGAGTATTGATGGATATGGGAGTATGTGTGGGTGGTTTGTGGGGTAGGGGACAAATTAGTGATAGGAAAGATGTGGGTTTGGGGGGGGTGGGTGTTGGGTATGGGGGGGGGGAGGGTTATATTGGGGTGTTAGGTGGTTAGGGTTGGTGGTTGGGTGAGTGGGGGGTTTTTGGTGGGTTAGATAGTTGGTGTTGGGGTATTGTGGAGGGTGGTTAGAGGTTTGTATGTTGGGAGGGGTGGTGAGTGGTTGGGTGGGGTGAAAGGGGGTTAAGGGATAATATAGGTTTGGGTTGTTAATTTGTTAATGTTGTGTAATTTGTGTTAATTTGGAATGTTGTAATGTGGGTGGTATTGTTGTGAATTTGGGTTTTAGTGGTGTAAATGTTGGGGGGTAAGGGTGTTATTGTGTGTGTAAAGGGTGGGGGTAATTGTGTGGGTGTATAATTGGGGGTTGTGAATGTGGGGTGTGGTATGTGGTTGGTAGTGGTTTGGTGTGAAGTTGGTTTATGTGTGTGGTAATGTGGTTGTGGTAATGTTGGGGGTAATTGTGGGTTAATTTGGTAATTGTTGGGTAATTTGGGTTTGGATAATGTTTGTGGTGGTAATGTTGTTTAATTTTGTTATTTTGTTTAATTGGTTTAAATGTGTTGTGTAATGGGTTTGGTGTAATTGTGGGGGGTGTGTATTTTTTAATGTGGTGTAAATTGTGTGTAATTTGTGTTAATGTGGTGTTTAATTGGTTGTTAAGTGTGTTGGTGAATGTGTTTGATTTATTAATTGTTGTGTAATTTGGTTTAAATTGTTTGGTGTAATTTTTAATGTGTGTTAATGTGGTGTGTGGGGTAATTGGTGGGTTTAATGGGGGGGGGGGGGGGGGGGGGGGGGGGGGGGTGGGTGTGGGTGTGAATGTTGTTAATTGGGGTGGTTGAATGTGTGAGGGTAATGTGTTGGGTAATTTTTTGAATTTGTTTGTTAAGTTGTGGTGAATTGTGTTGGTTAATGTGGTGTGTAATTGTGGTTTAATTGTTGGATTGTGTGGTTAATGGTGGTGTATTGTTGGTGGTGGGGGTAATTGGGGGTTTGGTAATTGTTTTAATTTTTATTTTGTGGTAAGTGTGGTTGGTAATGGTGTGGTGGTAAGTGTGGTATTTTGTGGTGTAATGTGTGTGTGATATGTGTTGATATTTTGTATGTGTTGATATTGTGTGGAATTGTGGGGGTTATGGTTGAGGTTGGTAAGGGGGATTTTATAGTTGTGGTGAATGGGGGGGGGGGGGGGGAGTGGGTGGAGGGGAGAGTGGGGGTGGAAGGGAGGGGGGGGGGGTATTAGGGAGGTAGTTGTTTTTGGTGTGTTGAGTGGAGTGTTGTAAGGGGTGTGGATTGTGTTGGTAATTGGTGGGGTAATGTGTTTAATTAGTTAGATTGTGTAATGTGTAATTTTTTGTAATTTGTTATAATTGGTTTATTTTTGTTTAATTGTAATGTGTTAATTTGGTTTTTAATTTGTGTGTATTGTGGTGGTAAGGGGGTGTGGGGTTTTGTGTAAGTTGGTTTTAATGTGGTGGTAATTTGGGTGGTGTGGTGTAAGTTGTGTTTAATTTTGGGTAAATTTGGGGTGTGGTGGTGGTAATTGGTGTTAATGGTTTTAATTTATGGGTAATATGTGTTTTATGGGGGGGGGTGGGTGGGTGTGTAAATGTTTTGAAATGGGGGGTTGTGTGGATATGTTGGAATTTGTTGTTTGGTGGTGTTTGGTTGTAGTGGGTTGGGGGGGAGAGGGGGTAAGAGAATAGATGTTTGGGTTTGAGTTAATAGGTTTTATGTTTGGATGGTGGGGGGGTTGGGTTTTTTTAGTGGTGGGGGGAGTTGTTGGATTATTGGGGATAAGTGGTTAGTTGTTGATGTATATGGATGGTATGGTTTGTGGTGGGGGTGGGGGGAGGAGGGTGTGGGGGGGGTTTGGGGTGGGGGTTGGGAGGAGGAAGTATGGGTTTGGGGGGGGTGGTGGTTGGGGGGATTGGGGGGGGGGGGGGTGTGTGGGGGTGGTTTGAGAGAGATGTTTTGTTGTATGGGGGGGGGGGTTTGGGGGGTTGGGGGGGGGAGATGGGGGTGAGTTATTGGTAGGGAAGGGTTGTGTTGTTTATGGGGGGTGGAGGGTAGTGTGGTGGGTTTATTGTTGTGATGATTGGTGGGGGGGATAGATATTGGGAATTGTGGTTTGAGTTGGTGGGGGGGGGTGGTGGGTTATAGGGGGGGGGGGTGGGGGGGTGTGGGATTGGTTGGGGTAGGGGGTAGGATGATTTTGTGATTTGGTAGGGGATATGGATAAGGGGGGGATGGGTGTGGAGGGTGGAAGAGGGGGGATGGGGATTAATGATAGTAGGAATGGTAAGGATGGGAGGGATGGGATGTTTATGGGATAGTAAGGGAAGAGATGGAGAGAGAGTAATGGAGATAGAGAAAGGGAGAGAGTGAGTGGAAGAGGGGGGAGTAGTAGGGGTGGGAAAGAGAGAGAGGAGAATGGGGGGGGAGAGAGAGTTGAAAGAGAGGGTGAGAGAGGATAGAGGGGGAGAGAGAGGTAAAGAGAGGGGGAGAGAAGGGGAAAGAGGGGGGGAGAGAGAGTTAAAGAAATGAAGAGAGAAGGAGAAGGGGAGAGAGAGGGGGGGGGGTAGAGAGAAGAGGGATGGGGAGGGAGTAGAGAATGAGGGGGGGGGTAGAGAGAGGGGAGAGGGTAGAGATGGGGAGGAAGGAGAGAGGGGGGTAGTGGGGGGTGTGAAGGGGAGATAGAGAGTGAGTGGATGTGATAGTGGTGGGGGGGGGGGTATTGTGGGTGGGTTTAGGGGGGGGGGGTTGGGGGATGTTTTGTTGTTAATGGGTGTGGGGGTATTGGGGGTGTAGAGTGGGGGAGAGGGGGTAGTGATTGGTGATAGATAGGGATGTGAGTGTGGGGGGTGATGAGGGGGGGTGATATGGTGGATGATGGGGTTGATGGTGTGGGGGGATGAGGTAGAGGGGGAGAGAGGGGGGGAGAGAGATAGGAAGAGAGAGAGGGGGTGTATAGATAGAAGAGTGATGAAATGGAAAGAGAAGGAGAGTAGAGTAGGTGAGATGTAGAGGGTGATAAGAGGAGATAGAGAGGGTGATGAGAGGGAGTGAGATGGAGGGGGGGAGAGTAGAGAGGTGAAAGAGAGGGGGAGAAGTGAGGATATGAGAGAGGATGAGAGAGAGGAGAGATGAGGTGGGAGTAAGAGGAGAGAGAGGTGTGTAGGGATGAGAGTTAGGGAGAGAGAGATGGGGTATGTGTGATGAAGGAGAGAGTAGGGTGTGAGTGATGATGAGAGATGGGGGGGATGTGAAGTGAGGAAGTGTGTGGGGTGAGGGTGGGGGGGGGGGGGGGGGGGGTAGAGAGTGGATAGAGTGAGAGGGGATGTTGAGGATGAGAGAGGGTGGGTTGAAGAGGAGTGAGAAGGGGGGTGTGAGTGGGAGAGTGAGGGGGGAAGTGAGAGAGGGGGGGGAGAGAAGTGGGTGAGAGTGTAGGGTAGTGTGGGGAAGAGATGTGAGGGGTGTATGTTGAGTGGGGTGAGTGTGAGGGTGAGATGTAGTGGGGGGGAAGTGTGTAAGGGGAGTATGATGAGAGGTGAGATGTGGGTAGATGTTAGTGGGGGGAGAAAGAAGAGTGATGAGGGGATGTGTGTGGAGTAGTGTGGAGAGTGAGAGTGATGAGAGGGGATGAATAGAGAGGGGAGAGAGAGAGGGAGAGTTAGGGGGGGTGTGTGTGTGGGGAATAGTGTGAGATGTAGGGGAGTGATGATGAGGGAGAGTAATAGGAGAAAGGATGAGTGAGGAGAGATGAGAGGAGAAAGAGAGGGGGGAGAGTGAAGGAGAGTAGAGAGAGAGAGGGGGTAGAGAGAAGAGGTATGTGATGAGGGGATGAGAGAAGGGATGAGTGAGGATAGGGTGGGGATGGTTGATGGGGTGTGGGATGATATTATGGGATATATATGGAGTATGGTTGTGATGTGGTTTGGGGGGGGGGGAGGTATTGTGGTGTGTGGATGGTAATTGGGGTAGGATGGGGGTAGTGGTGTGGGTGTTGGTAGGTGGTAGAGTAAGGTGTTGTGGGAGTGGGGGATTGTGGTATGGGGGTTGGGGGGGGGTGTAGAGGGGGGGTGTGGTTGGAGGAAGAGGGGGTGGTGGGGGGGGGGGGTTGGTGGGGGGGTTGAGGTGGGGGGGTGGGGATTATGGGTGGTTGATGGTGGGGTGGGGGGGGGGGGGGTGGATGGTGGGGGAGTGAGGTGGGGGGGTGGGGGGGTATGGTTTTGGGTTGTGGGGGGGGGGGTGTTGTAAGGAGTTGTAGGGTTGTTTGTATGGGTATAGGGGGAGATTGATTGAAATATTGTTGGAAAGGGAGTAGATTGGTGGAATGATTGGTTTGTTAGGAGATGAGGGGAAAAGTGGAATGTTAGGGAGAAGATGTGGGGATATTTGTACTGTTGTATGGAGGGGAGAAGATTGATATTAATATGGTGGAAGGAAAGGGGTGAAGATTGTTGTGGGGGATGTGGGAGGTTATGGTGTTTGTTGGGGGGGGAGTAATGGGGTTTGTTGTTTGGTAGGGGGGGGGGGGGGTAGGAGGGGGGGGGGTGGGGGGAAAGGTGGGATGGGTGGGGGGAGGGGGGTGGGGGGTAGGATGTTTTGTAGGGAGTGGAGGATATATGTGAGGGGTTGAGGTGTTGGTTTTATATGGTGGGGTTGTGTTGTTTATATGGTGAGTGTAGGGGGGGGTGGTGTTAGGATTTGGGAGAATAGTTGTATTAAGGGGAGGGGGGGGGGGGGGGTTAGAGTGGAATTAGGGGTGAGGGGGAGGGTTTATATTTTATAGTGTGGGGAAAGGTTGTTTTAATTAAGGTGAAAGGGGGGTGTGAGAGGTAAGAATTGAGTGGAGGAAGTGGGGGGGTGGAGGAGTGGGTTGTATGGAAGGGGGGGATTGTGATTTAAATGGGTTGGGTATGGGGGGGGGGGGGGAGTTGATTATGTTGGGGGTTAGTGGTAGGGGTGGGGGGTAATTGGATTGAGTCGGTGGGTGTGGTTGGTGGAGTGTGTGTGGTATGTGTAGTGTGGGATAGGGAAGTTTTTTTTTATTGTTGGGGGGTTGTTGTTGAAGGTGGAAGGGTGTGGGGGGAGGGAGGAGTATAGGGGGGTTGGAGGGGTAAGGTGTAGGGGGGGTGGGTTGGGAGTTGTGATTGTATGGGGATGGTTTGTAATATAGGGGGGGGGGGGGAGTATAGAGATTTGAGGAGGGTGGAAAAATGATGGTGGGTGGGGGTGGGGATATTGGGGTTTGTAAGTGAGGGAGGGGGGGAAAGGGTGGTTGGAATGGGGGGTGGTATTGTGAGGGGGTATTGTTGGGGGGGGTTATGGGGGAGTGGTTTGGGGTATGGGGGATAGTATGAGTTTGTGTGTGATGATGGGGTATGTATGTATTGGAGATGTGTAGGGTTGTTGGGGGGTTGTGGTGGGGGGGAATAGAGTGGGTGGGTTGTGGGGTGGGGGGGGGGGGTAATTGGGTTGGGGGGGTGGTTTTTGGTAGGTGAGAGTGGGTGTTTGTAGTGGGGGTTGGAGTTAGTGGTGTTGAGGGAGATGGGGGTAGGTTGGGGTAAGTGAGTATAGATGTGTGTGGGGGGTGTGGGGTGGGGATTGGGGATGGTGGGGGTAGGGTGGTGTTGTAAGGGTGGATGTTGTTTTGGGGGGGGGGGGGGGGGATATGGGGGGTGGTGTGATTTGTAGTTAGTGGGTAGGGGAGGAGGGTGGTATTATAAGTTGGGGTGGGGTTGGGTTAGGGGGGGGGGAATATGGGGGGATTATGGAGGGTATGTTTGAATATTGTTTTGTTATTTTGTGAGTTGTGGTTGTGTGGTTGTTGTTGTTGTGATGTGTGGGTGTTTTTGGTTGAGGTGTGGTTGTGAGGGGGGTGTGGGGGAGAGGGTTGGGGAATGTGGGGTTGAATGGTTTGGGGTTGGTTGGGTGTGAGGGGGTGTTAGGGTGAAATGATGGTGGAGGGAGGGGGGTGATGGGGGTGAGGGGTGTGGGGGATGTAAGAGGGTAGGTGGTTATTTGTGAAGTGTAGGGAAGATGGGATAATGGGGGGGGGGGGAGGAGGAGGGTGTTAATTGGGTTAGTAGGGGTTTGAGATAGGGGGTGGATTTGAGGTTGTGGGTAGGGTATTTTTTGAGAGGGAAGAGGGTGGGTTTGTATAGGAGTTGGAGGGTGTATGTATGATGGGATTGTGGGAGGGGGTGAGGTAGGGGGATGGGGGTAAGAGTGGTAAGGGGGGAATAGGTGTAGGAGAGTGGATATGTATTGAATGGTGTGGAGGGATAGAGGTTAGGGATAGGGGTTGTTTAGGTATGTGGGAAGGGATGGAAGGTGGTGGGGTTGGGTAGGGGTGTTAGGGATGGGTGTTGGGGGTGTTTAGGGGGATGGTTATAGTAGATGTTAGAGAGTAAAGTTAATATAGAGTTGGTAGGGTGTAGAGAGAGATGAGATATGAGTGTAATGTAGGGAGGGGGATAGGGGGAGTAAAGTAGTGTAAGAGTAGAAGTAAGTATTAGTAAGGGGATATAAGGTAGTTTGAGATAATATATAGGGTTGAAGGAGAGTAGAGTTGAGTATAGTAGAGTAGTAGTAGAGAGAGTAAGTAAGGAGAGGTAGTAAGTTATAGAGTAGAGTAGTGGAAGGAAGTAGGGTATGGGAATGTAGAGTAATAGGAGTTGAAGTAGAGTTTAGGTGTGTGTTGTAGAGGAGGAAAGGATAGTTGAGAGGTAGTAGAGGATGGTTGGGTTGGGTAAAGTATATATATAGAGGTTAGTAAGTAAAGTTGAGTAGAGAAGTAAGTGAGAGTAGAGAAGAAGTAGAGGAAGTAGATAAGTAGAGTAAGTTAGTAGAGTAGAGTAGAGTGGGGGGAAATAGGGAGGGTTAATGTTATGTGAAGTGAGGTGGAAATTAAAGATAGGGAAAGGGGAGTGTTGGGTGATAGGGGGTATTTTGGGGGGTGTGAGGTTGGGTGGGTAGTGGGTGGGTGGGGAATGGGGGGATTGTTGGAAAAGGGGGAGAGGGGGGGGGGGGGTGAGGGGTGGGTGGTTTGTGATGTGTTATAGGGTTAGTTGGGGGTGTTAGGGGGGGTGTTGGGGGAGTTGGGTGATTGGTAGGGGGTGGGGGGGTTTGGGGGGGGGGGGGTGGGGTGTGGGTGGGGGTGTTTGGGGTTAGGGGTGGATGGGGGGGGGGGGGGGGGTGATATGGTGGGTGGGTTGGGGTGGGTATTGTTTTGAATGGGGGGGGGTATTGATACTAGGGGGGGGGATGGTAAGGATATGAGATGGGGGTAGGGGGTGAGGGGTGAGGTGGGGGTTAGGTATAGTTTGGGGTTTGAGATAGTGGAGAAGGGTGGGGGGGTAGGTATTGGGTAGAGAGTGGGTGGTGTAGAGTAGAGATGGTAGAGTGATAGTGTGAGATGGGGTTTAGTTGAGAGAGAGTGAGATGTTTATTAGGGATAGATAGGTTTGTGAGTGATAGTAATGGAGGGGGGGGGGGGGGGAAAAGGGTTGATTATGTGTGGTTTTGAATTTTGAAAGGGGTTTTTTGATTGTAGTGGTGGGGTGGGGGGGGGGGGGGGGGGTGTGTTGAGGGGGGGGTAGAGAGATGGGGTAGAGAGGGGAAGAGGTGAGAGAGGGGGGGGAGAAGAGGGGAGAGTGAGGGAGATGATGGTGAAATAGGGATAGAGAGGGAAGAAAGAGGGTGTATAGAGGGGAGAGAGAGGAAGAGTGAGTTGAGAAAAAATATGGGAAGAGAGGAGAGAAAAGGTGGGGAAGAAATAGAAGAGAGAGGGAGGGGGGGGGGGGGTGAGAGAGAGGAGAGGGAAGGAGGGTGTAGTGAATGGGGGGGGGGATATGGGGGGGGGGGGGTGTTGGGGTGGGGAATTGGGGGGGGGATGTTAGGGGGGTGGTGAGGGGGGGAGAGATGTGTAGGTGGTTGGGATTGGGGGGGATATGGGGTGTGGGATGTGTGTATTGGGGTAAAGGGGGTGGGGGAGAGGGGAGAGTTGGGTTGTGATGGGATGTGGGTGGGGTGGGGAAGTGAGGATTATGGATGTGGGATGATGATATGGTATTTTTGAGGGGTTTGAGGTTTGGTGGATGTTGTTGATGGGGGGGGGGGGGTTATGGGGGGTGGGGGGGGGGTTGAGGGTGGTTGAGAGTTGTTGGAGGTGGGTATTTAGTGTGTTGTGGGTAATGGTTGTGTGGTTGTGGTAAGGGGTGTATGTGTGGGGGGGGGTTGGGGTGGGATAGGTGGTGGTTTTTGGGGTGGTTTTGTGGGGGGGGGGGGTGGGGTTGTTGAATTTTGTGGGTTATGATGGGGGGGGGGGGGGGGGGGGGGTTTGTTTGTTTGTGTTTAAATTGGGGGGTTTTTAGTTGTTTTTTTAGAATTTTTAGTGGTTGTGTGGGATAATTGTGAGGGGTGGGGAGTGGGGGTTTAAGGGAGAGGGAAAGGGGAGGGATTAGGGGGGGGGGGAATTAAATTGTGTTGGGGGAAGGAGGGGGAATAAAATAGATGATGATCAGGAGAGGAGAGGGAATATGGGGAGAAAGATCGGGGAGGATATATGGAGGATAGGAAGAAAAGATTGGGGAGGATAATGTGTAAAATATAAGGGGTGGGTTGGTATGAGGGTGTGGTATGGGGAGGGGATGTATTGATGTATGGAGGATGATATGGGTTGGGTGGGGGGTAGGGAATTTGGATATGGATAGTTTTTTTGGTGTTTTGATTTATGTTGTGGGGGGGTTTTTTTTTTTGAGTTGTTGTTGATTTGTTGTTGGGGGGGGGGGGGGTTTTTGGTAGTGGAGTTTTGGTTTTATTTTAATTGTGGTGGTTAATTGTTTAATTTGTGTGTAATTTTGTTAATTGTGTGAGTAGTTGTGTTGTATGTGTGTGGTATTTGTGTGGAAGTTGTTGTAATTGTTGTTTAATAGGGGTTTATAATTTTTATAATTTGGTTGTTAATGGTGTAATTGTGGAAGGGGTATATTTTTTTGTTGGAGTATTTTGATTGGGTGGGGGGTATGGGAATGTGGAGTTGTAATTTTTGGTAGGATGTATGTTGGGTTGGTGTGTATTGGTATGAGGAGGTATGGTTGGGTAGGAGTGTATGGTTGGTGGGGGGGAGGTAGTGAATTATGATATGATGGGGGGTTATAAATAGGTAAATGGGGGGGGGGGAGGGGTATATTAAGGGAAGGGGGGAGGAGGAGGGTGTTGGGAGGGGTAAGTAGGGGTAAAGGTGAAGATGAAATGGGGAGGATTAATGGGAAGGATAGGGGGGGGGGGGGAAGGGGTTTATTAATGTTTTGGGATAGGAGAGGATAAAATAGGGTGTTTGGGGGATAGTGATAGGGGGGGGATGGGGGGGGGGGAGTGGGGTATGGGGAGATGTTGGGTATGGAGATGGAGGTGTAGTTGGGGGGGGTGTATGTGTAAGGTGGGGTGATTGAGGAGTTGGGTTTGAGTAAGTGGGGGTGGTTTGGGGGTGGTGGGGGGGGGGGGGGTGGGGGGGATTGTAGAGTGGGTTTAGGGTGGATGGGGGGATGGGGGGATGGTGGGGTATGATGATATGGGTGGGGGAGTATGGGGGGGGGGGTTGGGGGGGGGGTTGGTTGGTGGATGTTAGGGATTGGTGGTTTGGGGGGGGAATATTTAGGTATGGTGGAGGAGTGTTGTTAAAGTTAATTGGAAATTGGGTAGGGGTGAGGGGATGTAGTGTTATTTGTGGGTTGGTTGTGGGTGATGGGAATGGAAGGGGGATGGGAGGGTTATGGGTGATAGGAAATTTTGTAGGGTGTGGGAGTGAAAATTAAGTTGGGGTGAAGGGGGGTGATGGGTTTAGTGGGTTTGGATTGTGATGAGTATTTGTGTTGTTGGATTAGGGGGGGGGGGGGGTTAGTGGGGTAGGGGTTGAGTAAGTGGTAGGTAAGTAGGGGTTGTGTGATATGGGGTGTTTGTAGGGGGGTGGAAGTAGATAGGGTTAGGGAGAGGAAGGATAGGGTTGGGAGTGAGGGGGGGAGGGGGAGGAAGAGGGAAAGAGAGAGGGGAAAGAGAGATGGGAAAGAGAGTAGGGGGAAAGAGAGGAGGGGAAATAGAGAGGGAAAGAGAAAGGGGAAAGAGAGAGAGAGAGGAGAGAAGAATTTGAGGGAAAGGGAGAGGGAGGTAGGATATGAAGAGGGTAAAGTGAGGAGAAGGAGGGGAGAGAGAGGGAGAGGGATGGAAGAGGTGGAGATAAGTTAGGGAAGTAAGGTTAATGTAGGTTGGTGTTTAGGGGGGGTTGAAGGTTGGTGTTAGGGGGTGGAGGAAGGGTGGGGGGGGTTTTGAGTGTATGGTGATAATATTAGTTTGGTCAGGGTTTAGAGTTTAGGAGGAGGGGGGGGGGTATAGTGTTGGTTTGGGGATATATTTGTGGTATGTAGTTTGCGAAGTATATGACGGGGGATGGGATAAAAGGATATAAGATAGGAAGAGGGGAAGGATGGTAGGGGGGGAAGGTGAGGAGAAGAGAAGGGGTGGGAGATGGATGGGATAAGTAATGTGGTGTTTGGTAATGGGTTTAGATTATATAAGATTATATAAGGTTGAGGAATAAGGGATGTGATGTTTTGTCTATGTGATAGAAAATTATTTATAGGGATTTTATTGTTTGGTGGTTGTTGGGTTGGGGGAATATGAGGTTTGGGGATGGGGGGGGTTGAAAATGGGTATAGTATATGGATGGGTGGGTATGTATGTTGGTAAAGATAAGGGATTTGTGTATTGTTTTGATTGTTAGTGTATGTTGTTTAGGGTGGTTAATTGTGAATGTGTGTAATTTTTTTTTAATGTGTGTAATTGTTTGTGGGTTTTTGTAGGTAGTTGTTGGGTTTTTGTTGAATTGTTTTAACTGTGTGTTGTTTGTGTAATTTGTTGTAGTTGTGTTTTTTAAATTTTTATTTTGGTGGTAATTGGGTTTTGGTTTTTTATTTTTGTTTGATTTTGAATAATTGTAATTTTTTTTTTAGTGGTGTTGTTGAATTGTGTGTTTTTATATGATTGGGTTTTAGTGTGGGTTAATGGTTGAGGTTTTGTTAATGTGTTTGTTTTTTGGATTTTGTTGTGGTAATGTGTTTGTTTTTTAATTGGTATTTTGTGTTTTATTGTTTTTTAATTTTGGGTTTATTGGGTGGGTTGTTAAGTTGGTTGTTAATGTTTGTATTATGTATTATATAAGGTTTATTGTTTTTGAGAGTGAGGTATGTTGTTTGTTATTGGATTTTTTTAGGATTGTGGAGTGGGGTTATGAGGTTTGATGGGTAGGGGTTGGGGAAAAGTGTTAGATAGTGGAGGGGGATGGTTGATTTTATGATAGAGGGATTTTGGGGGTTTGGGGTTTTTTTGGTGTTTTTTAATGAGAGGTTAGTATTAATAATTTTGATAGGGAGGGGGGTAAGGATATAGGTATTGTGGGGTAGGGGGGGGGGTAGTGAGAGTGGGGGGTTTGTTTTTGGTGGGGGGGGATTAGTGGTTAGTTAATAGAGGAGGAATGGGATGTGGGGGTGTGTAATTTTGGTAGGGTTGTATGTGGTTGGGGTGTGTGTTAGGTATTGGGTGTTGTTTGATGAGATTATTAGTATTAGGTGGGTTTTTTGTTTGGGAGAAGAGGGGTAAAGGGTGAGTGTTTTTGTGGGGGTAAATGTTAGTGGGGTGATATATTTGAAGTTTGGGTTGTTTGTGGGGAGTTAGTAAGATTTGGGTTTTATGTTGGATGGAGGGTATTGTGAAAGGGAAAAAGATGGGAATTAATTAAGGTGAGAGGTGATGGTTGATTTAATAGGGTGGGGTAGGGTGGGGTGTGTGAAACTGTGATGGGGGTTGGGATTTAGGGGTGTACAATTGGTGAGGGTGGGGATGGGGGGGGGGGGTAATGGGGTGGGGGTGGTATGGGGTTGTTTGGGGGGTTTGAAGGTGATGGAACGATAGGTTTTAGATTTGAGTTTGGGGGCGGAAGGTGGGGGTTTTATGTGTATATTTTCTGATGTGGTGTATTGATGATTTTTTGGATAATGGTGAGGTGTGGTGTTGTTAGGAGAATTATGGTGGAGGAGGCGAGATAGAGAGGGGAGAGCTAGATAGATAAGGAGAAAGGGGGGAGAGAGGGGAGATAGAGGATAGAGAGGGGGAGAGAGAGAGGGGTGAGAAGGGGAGGGAGAGGGAGATCGATTGGGGAGTAGATGATAGTGACTAAAAAAAATAAGTAAGGGTAGAGAGGATAGAAGAGAGGGAGAGAGGATTGGGGAGGGAGATAGGGGAAGAGAGAGGAGAGAGAGATGAGAGGGAAGAGGAGAGAAAGAGAGAGAGGAGATTAGTGAGAGAGGGAGAGATGGTAGAATAGATGGTTGATATAGATATAAAGAGATAGTGGGAAAGAGGGATAGAGGAAGAGGGGAATCTATAGGATGTGAGTGTTTGGATAGGGAAAGAGTGGGAGATGAGGGGGGAGAGAGAGGAGAGATAGGGGGAGGAGTAGGGGGAGAATAGGAGAGGGAGAGAGAGTGAGGAGAGGGAGAGAGAGAAGAGAGAGGGGGAGAAGGGGAGAGAGAGGGAGGGGGAAGAGAGATAGTCTCTAAAGTGTTTTGAGTTTGGGTTTGGGTGGTGATTTGGGTGTGTGTGGTTATTAGGTTGTGTTATACATTGTGAGGAGAGCATATACCTAGATAAGGGAGGGTATGAGGGTGATTATTATAGGTATGTTAAAAGAGGGAGGTACTTGGATGGTGAGATGATGATGAAGAGAGGGGGGATGGGGTGGGGGGGGGGGGAGGGATGGTGTGGGGGGGGTGGGATGAGGTTTGTTTATGGGGGGTTGGAATGTTTGGTGGTGGATGGGATGTGGGGGTGTGGGGGTATGTGGAGAAGAGAATTAGGGAGGGTGAAGGTTATAGGGGTCATATATAATGAGTGTGGTAAGAAACAAATGAATAAGTAGTAGGGGGGATGTAGCTAATGTTGATGAAGGGGTAGGGGTGTAAGGATTGGGGGAAAGAGGGAGAGAGGTGTGGGGGGAGGGATGAGGTTTGGGGGATTTTTAAGTAGGGTAGTATAAAGTGTATGGGTTAGTAGGGTTGATAGGCGATAATAATGATTGGAAATTTATATGAGAGTATGGATGCTGTTTTATGAAAGAGTTGGGTGAGTGGGGTGGTGGATTGATATGGGTGTATTTGTAGTGTATGGTTTGTGTAATAGTGTGTAATGAGTTAATTGTGTAATTGGTGGTGTGTAATGTTTTAATGGGGTTTGTAGGTATGTATGTGGGATGTTGTGTATGGGTTGGGGTGTAATTGTTGTAATTTTGTTAATTGATGGGATAATTGTGTGTCATTTATTAATTGTTTTTAATTTATTGATGTAGAAAAATGTGATAGGGGTTGGTGGATTATATGAGTATGGTGGAATGGGTGGTTTTTTGTGGGGGTTGAGGATGTGTTGGTTGTGTTTATATGGGGTTGTATGTTTTGTAATAAAGTTAGGAAGTTTATATCTTAATTAGGGGAGGGATGGTGGTAGGAGAGTTGTAGTGATGGGAGTGGATTTTATAGGTGTTTGAATTGTATAGGAGAGAGAAGTTTGATGGGAATAGGAGGAAATATGATGTTGTGAGAGGGGGTTGGTTGGATGTATAGGGTGTAGTTAGTAGGAGGGAATTTTGGGGGTTATGGAGGTTATTTATAGGGTTAGTTATATGTATTGGGTGGGGAGATGTAGTGGGGGGATTTTAGGTAGGATGGGGGGAATTTGGTTGTTTGGGGATAGGAGTAGTATGTTGTTATCTTATTAATAGTAATAATTGGTTATTGTATGGGGGGTGGGGGGGGTTGTGTGTGGTTTTTTTGTATGAAAATTTATGGGGGGGGTGAGAGGGGGGGAATAGGGATTGGGAATTTTGATAATTTATCGTATATTAGGTTAGTAGATATGGTGGTTGTTTGTGGGGTGATGATTGGTGTATGGGTAGTGTGTGAAAGAAATAGTATGAAGATTGTGTATATATTAAGGTTAGATAGGTTGGATTGGTTTAAAGTTTATTATGTATATGGTTTAAGGAGTCTATAATATATGTGGTGTAGGATTAGGTTGATGTGGAGGGATGTGGGTATGTATATTGGAGTAAGGGGAAATGAAAAATGGGATGTTTTGTGGGGGATGGTATGGAGTGGATGGTTAGAAGATATAGGGGAGAGGATGTATGTTTTTGGTAATATGCTAATAGAGGGGTAATAATAATTATATTATAGGGGAGAGAGTGAGCAAGATAGGAGGGAGAGGGAGGAATACTAAGAAGTAGAAGAATAGAGAAGGTTGAAGTAAGATAGAAGGTTAATAGGGGGAATAGGAATGGTGAATAAGGAAATGGAAGGGTGAATAAGGAAGAGGATGGTGAAAGAGGGAGAATTAAGTAAGATATTTGTATGTGGGGTGGGGGGGAGGTGGGATTATTGTAGAAGGGGGAGATATAGGGGGATAGAGAGAGGTAGGAGGGAGAGGGGGAAGAGAGAATGGGGGAGAGAAGGAGAGAGAGAGGAGGAGAGAGGGAGATAGAGGAGAGAGAGATTAGAGGGAGAGAGAGGGAGAGAGATAGGGGGAGAGAGAGAGGGGGAAGAGAAAAGAGGGAGAGAGAGGTATAGGGTGTGTTTATGTGTTTTGGTTGGGGAATATATTATGGTGTATGTGAGATGGAAGGTTAGGGGGGTGGTTACTAGTTAGGGGGTTGTGGTGTGGGGGGAGTTGAGAGGGGGAGGGTGGGGGGGGGGTATGTATTTTTGTGTGTTTTGGTGTGGTTTGAGGGGTTTAATAAAGGGAGAAGGGTTAAAAGGGAGGAAGATTGGAAGAAGAAGAGGGGGGGGGGAGAGGATGGGGGAGGAGAAGGGGGGGGGGGTTGGGAAATGGGGGGGGGGGGAAGGATGAGAAAAGATAGGGGTAAAGGGGGTAAAGGTGTTGGATAGGGGATAAGGGATGGAAATGAAGAAGAGAGGGTGAGGAATGAATATTATTTGAGATTTTTAGTTTTTTAGGTTTAGTGGTTTGTGTTAGGGAAAAAGGATGGAGGGGGTAAGAAGAGGAGAGATGAGGGAGGAAGAGGGAGGAGAGAGAGAGGGGAAAGGAGGGAGAGGAGGAGGGGAAAGAGGAGAGAGGGAGGATAGAAAGAGATGGATCTGGTCTCTAACACACGGCTCACTCTGGTCTCTAACACACGGCTCACTCTGGTCTCCTACACACGGCTCACTCTGGTCTCTAACATACGGCTCACTCTGGTCTCTAACACACGGCTCACTCTGGTCTCTAACACACGGCTCACTCTGTTCTCCTACACACGGCTCACTCTGGTCTCTAACACACGGCTCACTCTGTTCTCCTACACACGGCTCACTCTGGTCTCTAACACACAGCTCACTCTGGTCTCTAACACACAGCTCACTCTGGTCTCTAACACACAGCTCACTTTGGTCTCTATCACACGGCTCACTCTGGTCTCTAACACACGGCTCACTCTGGTCTCCTACACACGGCTCACTCTGGTCTCTAACACACGGCTCACTCTGGTCTCTAACACACGGCTCACTCTGGTCTCTGACACACGGCTCACTCTGGTCTCCTACACACGGCTCACTCTGGTCTCTGACACACGGCTCACTCTGGTCTCCTACACACGGCTCACTCTGGTCTCCTACACACGGCTCACTCTGGTCTCTGACACACGGCTCACTCTGGTCTCCTACACACGGCTCACTCTGGTCTCTGACACACGGCTCACTCTGGTCTCCTACACACGGCTCACTCTGGTCTCCTACACACGGCTCACTCTGGTCTCCTACACACGGCTCACTCTGGTCTCCTACACACGGCTCACTCTGGTCTCCTACACACGGCTCCCTTTGGTCTCCTACACACGGCTCACTCTGGTCATCTGTCCCCATAAGTGTGTTAGTTTTGTATGAGTGTCCCCATAAGTCAAATAAGCAGAACTAAAGATGAATACAACATGTTCAGAGAAATGTCTTTGCAGAGAATTGTTTTTACCTATTTTTGAGTTTATATTTGTGGTTTCCAACATAACTTATTATCAAGAGTCACTCCCAGGAATGTAAATGTGTTTACTCTTATTATCGATAAATAATTTAGTGTCAGATTTGACGTCTTTATTTCCAAAAACAATACATTTTGTTTTCTTAATGTTAAGTGACATTTTATTAATTTCAAACCATGTTTTCAGTCGTTTCATTTCTGTAATAACCAGTGTTTTTAGTGACGTCTGATTAAACATAAATCATTGATGTAAAGTAAGAACACAGGTCTTAGCACAGGTGTGGTCAATGTGTGGTCAATGTGTGGTCACTGTGGTCAATGTGGTTAATGTGTGGTTAATGTGTGGTCACTGTGGTCAATGTGTGGTCAATGTGTGGTCACTGTGGTCAATGTGTGGTCAATGTGTGGTCAATGTGTGGTCATGTGTGGTCAATGTGTGGTCAATGTGTGGTCAATGTGTGGTCACTGTGGTCAATGTGGTTAATGTGTGGTTAATGTGTGGTCACTGTGGTCAATGTGTGGTCAATGTGTGGTTAATGTGGTCAATGTGGTTAATGTGTGGTTAATGTGTGGTCACTGTGGTCAATGTGTGGTCAATGTGTGGTCACTGTGGTCAATGTGGTTAATGTGTGGTCAATGTGGTCAATGTGTGGTCAATGTGTGGTCAATGTGTGGTCAATGTGTGGTCAATGTGTGGTCAATGTGTGGTCAATGTGTGGTCACTGTGGTCAATGTGTGGTCAATGTGTGGTCAATGTGGTTAATGTGTGGTTAATGTGTGGTCACTGTGGTCAATGTGTGGTCAATGTGTGGTCAATGTGTGGTCAATGTGTGGTCAATGTGTGGTCACTGTGGTCAATGTGGTTAATGTGTGGTCAATGTGTGGTCAATGTGTGGTTAATGTGTGGTCAATGTGTGGTCAATGTGGTCAATGTGTGGTCAATGTGTGGTCAATGTGTGGTCAATGTGGTCAATGTGTGGTCAATGTGTGGTCAATGTGTGGTCAATGTGGTCAATGTGTGGTCAATGTGTGGTCAATGTGGTCAATGTGTGGTCAATGTGTGGTCATGTGTGGTCAATGTGGTCAATGTGTGGTCATGTGTGGTCAATGTGGTCAATGTGGTTATGTGTGGTCAATGTGTGGTCAATGTGTGGTCAATGTGTGGTCAATGTGGTCAATGTGTGGTCACTGTGTGGTCAATGTGTCATCAATGTGGTCAATGTGTGGTCACTGTGTGGTCAATGTGTGGTCACTGTGTGGTCAATGTGTGGTCAATGTGTGGTCAATGTGTGGTTAATGTGGTCAATGTGTGGTCAATGTGATCTATGTGTGGCCAATGTGTGGTTAATGTGTGGTCAATGTGGTTAATGTGTGGTCAATGTGTGGTCAATGTGTGGACAATGTGGTCAATGTGTGGTTAATGTGTGGTCAATGTGGTCAATGTGTTGTCAATGTGGTCTATATGTGGTCAATGTGTGGTCAATGTGTGGTCACTGTGTGGTCAATGTGTGGTCAATGTGTGGTCAATGTGTGGTTAATGTGGTCAATGTGTGGTCAATGTGATCTATGTGTGGCCAATGTGTGGTTAATGTGTGGTCAATGTGTGGACAATGTGGTCAATGTGTGGTTAATGTGTGGTCAATGTGGTCAATGTGTTGTCAATGTGGTCTATATGTGGTCAATGTGTGGTCAATGTGTGGTCACTGTGTGGTCAATGTGTGGTCAATGTGTGGTTAATGTGGTCAATGTGTGGTCAATGTGATCTATGTGTGGCCAATGTGTGGTCAATGTGTGGTCACTGTGTGGTCAATGTGTGGTCAATGTGTGGTTAATGTGTGGTCAATGTGGTCAATGTGTGGTCAATGTGGTCTATGTGTGGTCAATGTGATCTATGTGTGGTCACTGTGTGGTCAATGTGTGGTCAATGTGTGGTCAATGTGTGGTTAATGTGGTCAATGTGTGGTCAATGTGATCTATGTGTGGCCAATGTGTGGTTAATGTGTGGTCAATGTGGTTAATGTGTGGTCAATGTGTGGTCAATGTGTGGACAATGTGGTCAATGTGTGGTTAATGTGTGGTCAATGTGGTCAATGTGTTGTCAATGTGGTCTATATGTGGTCAATGTGTGGTCAATGTGTGGTCACTGTGTGGTCAATGTGTGGTCAATGTGTGGTCAATGTGTGGTTAATGTGGTCAATGTGTGGTCAATGTGATCTATGTGTGGCCAATGTGTGGTTAATGTGTGGTCAATGTGTGGACAATGTGGTCAATGTGTGGTCAATGTGTGGTCACTGTGTGGTCAATGTGTGGCCAATGTGTGGTTAATGTGGTCAATGTGTGGTCAATGTGATCTATGTGTGGCCAATGTGTGGTTAATGTGTGGTCAATGTGTGGACAATGTGGTCAATGTGTGGTCAATGTGTGGTCACTGTGTGGTCAATGTGTGGTCAATGTGTGGTCAATGTGATCTATGTGTGGCCAATGTGTGGTTAATGTGTGGTCAATGTGGTTAATGTGTGGTCAATGTGTGGTCAATGTGTGGACAATGTGGTCAATGTGTTGTCAATGTGTGGTCAATGTGGTCAATGTGTTGTCAATGTGGTCTATGTGTGGTCAATGTGTGGTCAATGTGGTCTATGTGTGGTCAATGTGTGGTCAATGTGGTCAATGTGTGGTCAATGTGTGGTCAATGTGGTCAATGTGTGGTCAATGTGTGGTTAATGTGTGGTCAATGTGTGGTCAATGTGTGGTCACTGTGTGGTCAATGTGGTCAATGTGGTTAATGTGTGGTCAATGTGTGGTCAATGTGTGGTCAATGTGTGGTCAATGTGGTCAATGTGTGGTCACTGTGTGGTCAATGTGTCATCAATGTGGTCAATGTGTGGTCACTGTGTGGTCAATGTGTGGTCACTGTGTGGTCAATGTGTGGTCAATGTGTGGTCAATGTGTGGTTAATGTGGTCAATGTGTGGTCAATGTGATCTATGTGTGGCCAATGTGTGGTTAATGTGTGGTCAATGTGGTTAATGTGTGGTCAATGTGTGGTCAATGTGTGGACAATGTGGTCAATGTGTGGTTAATGTGTGGTCAATGTGGTCAATGTGTTGTCAATGTGGTCTATATGTGGTCAATGTGTGGTCAATGTGTGGTCACTGTGTGGTCAATGTGTGGTCAATGTGTGGTCAATGTGTGGTTAATGTGGTCAATGTGTGGTCAATGTGATCTATGTGTGGCCAATGTGTGGTTAATGTGTGGTCAATGTGTGGACAATGTGGTCAATGTGTGGTCAATGTGTGGTCACTGTGTGGTCAATGTGTGGCCAATGTGTGGTTAATGTGGTCAATGTGTGGTCAATGTGATCTATGTGTGGCCAATGTGTGGTTAATGTGTGGTCAATGTGTGGACAATGTGGTCAATGTGTGGTCAATGTGTGGTCACTGTGTGGTCAATGTGTGGTCAATGTGTGGTCAATGTGTGGTTAATGTGGTCAATGTGTGGTCAATGTGATCTATGTGTGGCCAATGTGTGGTTAATGTGTGGTCAATGTGGTTAATGTGTGGTCAATGTGTGGTCAATGTGTGGACAATGTGGTCAATGTGTTGTCAATGTGTGGTCAATGTGGTCAATGTGTTGTCAATGTGGTCTATGTGTGGTCAATGTGTGGTCAATGTGGTCTATGTGTGGTCAATGTGTGGTCAATGTGGTCTATGT